ATTATCCTCTTTATCTGTGACTCTTCTTCGGATCCACTCGCTCTGTCTGCATCTGTGACTGTTCATTTGAACTAACATGCCATGACTTTGCTCCTTGATTGGGGTTACTCTCGGGGCGGGGTGACCTGCGGTGTCAGTAGCAACCAGACCTAAGCAGGTACTAAGCTCATATCTGTGGGCCCCACAGCTCCCTGGGCTGTTCTCATCTGGAGAAAGGGACCGTTCTGCCCTGCACAGGCTTCCAGGGGAAGGAAATGAGAGGATCTTAGTGATGAAGCACCCAGGAGGCTGTCTCAGCCCCCTGCAGCGTTATGAGTTGGCTCCTCAGGTGGGGCGCATAGCAGAAGTGAGCACAGCTGTCTAACGGTTGTGTCCTCTGCCCCTGCGTGTGTCCCTGCTGAGGAGACGGACCGAGTCTCAGAGCTGTCCTGGGGAGGCAACTCTCCCACGCTCCCTGCCGTACCTGGCACTGAACTCCGATGTGCCCCTGGGCACCTCTGTAGGGCGGTCACATTCTCGTGCCCACTCCCCCAAGGAAACCGAGGCTGTCTCCTTGCGGTCACCAGCTGCCCCCAGTGCAGAGCAGCTCCAGCCATCTCACTACCTGGGTACCAAACCCAACGTCAGAGCAACTGTGGGGGGGATTTTCCCATGTGTGCCCTCCCTCCCGGGATGCAGAACCGCTGGGTGTCATTGAGCTGGTTCCCCAGCTCAGTGCCAGCCTGGGGGCCTGTGCAGGAGCTGTGTTAGGGGGATGCTGCTGGGTGGGGTCACAGCTGAGCCACATGCGCAGGTCTGCAAGCTGCTCGCCGCCACACTGCACAGCTTTTTGGTTCTCATTGCGGTGTCATCTCTCTGCTTCAGATTGGCATGGGGGCTCACACCATAATCTGAGCACTTGGGAGGCTAAGACAGGGGGATTACAAGTTCAAGGGCAACCTGGGCTGTATTGCGAGGCCCTGCCTCAAAAAACCAAACTGAAATAAAACAAAAGATTGGCAGGGAACCCGCCTGCAGCAGCCTTCCAATCTGCTGTGGGCTGGGAAAGGTGACCGCACCTGTGGCAATTATACGTAAAGTAAGAGCTGAAAGGATGATTCAAGGCCAGAAACCTGGTGCTCACAGACGTCTGCCACAGTGCTGCGGACCACACTGAGAAACAAGGTGTGTTTCAACAGTGCAGAGCAGGCAGCGAAGGCTCTGAGCCTGAGGCAGCAGGTGCCAAGGTGAAGCCCAGGTGACGCTGCTGTGGGAAAGTGAAGCCCACAGACGCTGCTTCTTTGTGTGTCTCAGCTGCTGGGATGAACCTCAGCTCTCATGGGTGCTAGGCGAGCACTCCACCCCTGAGCCACATCCCCAGCCCACATGGGGGCTGAGTTAAAGCGCTTGCCCTAGCTGGGCCCAGGGCTGTAAGCGGGAAAAGCAGCACCCAGCCCAGGACAGCTCGGCTCCAGGCCGTCACCCAAATCCTCTGCACGCACCCCGAGGCGATCCTAGTGCTAACAATTGACGCATCTGGAGCCCTTCCTACACGTTACATCCACCTACGGTCACCTGTGACAACTCCGTGAGCTGGATCCACTTCACAGATGAGGACAAAGCAGAGTTGAGAAGCTACATAACTTTTTTTGTTTGTTTGTTTGTTTGTTTTTTTCCGGTACCAGGAATCGAACTCATGACCTTGTGCTTGCCAGGCAGGCACTGTGCCACTGAGCTAAATCCCCAGCCCCTGAGAAGCTACATAACTTGCGAGAAGTTACAAAGCCATGCACCAGGGCCAAAGAGAAACTGCCACATCGTGCGGCCACCTTCAGCCTTTCCCTGTGCCCTCCCTCTTGTGCTCTCAGATCCCAGTGGTTCTTGCCCCAAGTAGTCTTGTCCCCCCGGGGACACTGAGAGACGCTGGAGACATTTTTGGTGGTCACAGTGAAGTGGGGGTCTACTGAGATCTCATGGGTAGAAGCAAGGGATGCTGGGAATATTCGACAGGGCACTGGACAGTCTGGTCCCACCCCCACTAAAAGGAAGAATTATCAAACCCGAAATGACAAACGTCAAGGCTGACAAACCCTGAAATGGCCTTAGAATTGCCCCAACACACACACACACACACACACACACACACATGCATGCATGCACATGCGCACACGCACATCTGCAACCACACACGCATGTATGCACGCATGGTCACTCAGTCCAGCATCCAGACCCGCACTCCCATAACCCAGGGAATGGTTAGCATCCTAAACAGAAAAGGCAAGGAGATGGGGAGGAAAAGAAAGCAAGCCCCACCCACAAAGGTACCACCATCACCATTAACGTCATATTTATTGTTATTTAGCTGCTCAGGAAAACATATACAGGTATATACAATATGCATGAATAAGGAAGACTGCACTTTACATATTTTTTTAAAAAAGAAAGAAAAAATAACACTCAATTTCATGAGCTATTGTCACAGTCTTCCAACCAAGCATTTCAGAAATGAATTTCTTTTAAGAGTCAAAAAAGATGACAGGATTGCCTAACACACAGCAGAGTTAAGTTTTCATATTTTACATGTGCAACAACATTTTCGTTTCGTTCCCGAAAGTTCGCTATGCAGTACCGATTACCAGTGTTCGGGGTCTCGTGCGTCGGGTGTGTTTCTCATTTGCTTTTATTCTTTCCATTAAACCAAATTTAATGAAATTACATCCTTTTGCTTAAGGCTATTTTAAAAGCTGTTCCATTCTGGGGTCGTGGGGAGCGAGAATGTTTAAAACTTCAGAGGTTTCCAAGATTTTGAGCTCATGGCCAAACGCTGATGGATTCAACGCTGGGAAAGTCAAAGACAGAAGTTAAGACACTTTGCTCCCCGGCCTTAAGCAATTAAGGAGAAATCATTCCTGTTTAAAAAGGAAAAGGATGAAACTCTCAAACAGCTGTACATAGCAGAGTGGGGCGGGGGGAGCTTTGCCCAGAATCTGGCGGATTCTCCCGCAGCCCATGTAGGGGGGAAAGCCTGTGGTAGCATGGGGCCTCGACAGCTCCAACCTTCTGAGTGCCACCTGCTCTGTCTGCCCTCTGTGGACGGGGTCTGCCCTGGCCAGACTGCCCCGCAAGAACCATAGACACCTGGACTCAGACCTCAGCCCAAAGGGCCAGCCAAGGAAAGAGTAGGAGGAGAGAGAGGGGAGGGCGAAGGTTTTCTGGACGCTGCTCTGGCTTTGCTGAGAAGTTCTTTGAAATAAACAATATGGGTGCTGTGTAGTGAGCCCCAAACCTTCAGATCACTTGCCCAAAAAAAGCTGGACCTGTAAACTCTGGGGACCTGGGAGAGTGGGTTGGCTCAAAACCCAGCAGTTAGTGAAGACATGCTCTCTAACTGGAATGGAAATAAAATACGAAGAGTCACTGATCTTAATGAAGTGACATCTGTCACTTCTTGTCTGACCCACCCAGGAATCTACACACCCCCACCACCCCCATAAGTCATGAATGCCTTTTGCTTGGGCCTCCCCAGCGCCCAGGGGTGCCCATCTCCGCCCTCCCCAGGCCTCCAGGGACCGCCGCTTAGCTCTGCTTCCTCGTGAGACAGGGGACATGGCTCTAGTTTTAATACGGAGTGAAATCAAATCAAATGGGAATTTTAGGGTTAAAAAACAAAAGGCCCAGGAATCAAAACCACTAGTTCTATTCCCTTTCTCCCTCCTCTCAGCCTCCAGGAGTTTGCAAAGAAAAATGTGAAGGGGGGTTTTTGCAGGCTGAGCTAGGGCCATCTCATCCCTCCCAGGATTGGGCCGGGGAGCAGATGAGAGAAGTGGGGGTCACCTCCAGCCCCCTTCTTCCCTAGAATGCATGGCCAGGAAAGAGCAATGTCTGAGAAGGGCTGCTTCCTTTCCCCTTAAGCACCCAGGGCCAGCAACCCGGCCTCTTGAGCTGGCCCACCAGAGTCTGAAGACTGCACCCTGCAAAGGCAGAACCTGGAGCCTTTGGAGGAGCTAGGGAGGGAGGAGGGAGGCCCAAAAAGGAGAGGAGAGGAGAGGAGCCCTCACTGTCCAACATCCCGCCTTCCGCCTCCCTCCCCACGCGGCTGCTTCCAGCGCCCAAGGACAGAACGCAGCCCAAGACCAGAGTGTTTGTTGGAAAGAAAACCATTTCTCTCTCTCTCTCTCTCTCTCTCTCTCTCTCTCTCTCTCCCCTTAAAGAACAGACAAAACAAAATCACAGGCGGAATACCTAAGAGGGGTATTAATTGTTTGGCTCCCCTGTGGCTGATGACAGTTGGGTGTCAATGCATAATATCGCGATGACAGTCTGACTTTCCCCCGGCAGTAGTCCAGAACTACTATTCTCCAGGGTTGCCATTCTCATAAGTGAACAAAGCAAAGAGGAAGGAGAAAAATAAAGAAGGGGGGGCAAGGTGGGGAAAAGGAAAAAGAATAAAAGAGAATTTTAAAAAGGGAAGCAATTCTTTTCTTATTATGAAATACTTGGACACACAAGCAGCATGATAATAAAACAAAGAAGGAGGTCATCTAAAAGTGTATGCCAAGATGACAGAGAAACGGGGGAGTCTCTAGCAGGAAAAAGGCTTCAGCAAAAGTTTGCTAACTGCGGAGGATTAACACTGGTAACATACTGTGGCAGACAGCTTCTTTAAAAAAAAAAAAAAACTTTGAGGTTCCCCCCCTCCCCCGCCCCTTTAAATTAACCCTTTCGGGTCCATATGCCACTAAGCAGGTACCAATCTAGATCAAAAAAAGAAAAAGAAAAAAGGAAAGAAAGAACGAAGAAGGAAAAAAGGAAAGAAAGAACGAAAGAAGGAAGGAAAGAAGGAAAGAAAGAAAAGAAAGAAAGAAAGAAAGAAAGAAAGAAAGAAAGAAAGAAAGAAAGAA